TTCCTGCCCTCTTTTACTGTGAGAAAGATCTGCTAGTGTTCTTGTAGCAAGGAAAGGTAGAGGAGAAGTGAGCATCTAATTTGAATGTTTTACCATCTGGATGGGATTAAGGTCTGGGCGGGTCAGCAGTTGCACCAAGATGCCATCCTTGCCTCACCTGCTCTCAATTTGACAGCTTTTATACCATCAGTCCAACCACATTCAGCTGAATGTCTCCTGACAAGGGCTGCTGAAGTGTCAGAGAATGGCGATTTGCTCATCCTTGGGGGGCTTGCCCATGAGAGAGTTTCAGTGAGGTTAATCTGGATCAGCTTTTGAAGACATTGCTTATACAGCCGGAGGCTCGCTAACAGCCTTAACCCAATTAAACACCCTTCCCTGAGGACGGGAGGCCAGCTAAGCTTGCATTAAAGCCCATCAAGTGTCCCGTTAATCACGTACACTTTAAAATCACAGCTGCGGTCGTCCCAGTGGACGCCACCAATAGGCTGCAGATGCCTGGCTATTTTTCACCTCCTTTTGTCATTTTAGCTATTTCTGCAGTTACTTTGGGTAGTGAGATGAAAGGCCCAGCAGCTCTGCCCCGATTCACTTTGCTCTCCAGACTCCCCTCCAGTTTTAGTTTCAGCATTAACTGTGTCACACACCAGACTCTCATTGACTAACTGCCCCAGGGGCACGCTGGCTGAGTGTTAATTGCTGTTAATGAGCTGTTGCTGCTTTCCTTCCAAGAGCACCAGTTACAACAGTACTCAGGCACTGCAAGAAGAAGCCTGCCTGCTGCAAATCAAGGCAAATTTTCTTCCAGACCCTGGCACTGCACTGCCAGCAGCTCCTGGAAAAGGCTTTAAATTAGGAGAAGGCTGGGTGAAGAATGACAGCAGGCTGTCCTCCTGCCATTGCCTGTCCCCTTGTTCTTCACTTGGTGGGTCAGGGTGAATGAGAAGCCCCTGACTTGCTCGCTGTGGCTCCCGTTGTGGTGCCTTGCAGCGATGTCCGCCCTCGGCTGTTCACCTGAGCTCTCGCTCCCATCTCCCTCCAGCCACAAGCCTTCAGTCCCACCGGTGGGTTTTACACATAGATGGTGGCCCAATGGGCTTGGAGCACAGCGGGGTTTGTCTTGTCCCACGCGCTGCTAGAGGAGGTGCGGGAGGGACTTGGCAAGAGGGCTTGATGGCCTGGTGTTGTGCACGGCAGCACTGCCATCATTTCAGCATCACCCCTTGCCCCAGGGCTGGGGCCAGCTCCTACCTCGGCTACAGCGGAGTCCATCCCCACCAGAGCTTTAAGACCCTTCTTCCCAAACTTCGTTTCCTTCCCCGGCTAAGCATGGGTGAGTGTATACGCTAGTACCAAGCATGGCCCTGGAAGTACACCGAGATGTCCACCAGCGAAGAAGAACACGAGCCGCCACTGTTCCTAAGGCTTCTCCCTCTGGAAAGGGGGTTTGCCTTTCTGGCAGCCCAAGCGAAGGAGATTTCAGACGAGGGATGTGCTAAGGTGATAAAAGCTTTTGCATGAGTGCTTAAGGTCGTGCAATTTAAGACAAGGTATCGATACCCTTCACTGAGATGGACTGAATCTGTCTACAGCGCTAGTAAGAAATTGTCCAGTGCCTCACTCTGACTTTCTCATTTGGGTTATTTTTGGCCGTACTAGGAAACATTCACATCCAAACCACTCTTGGTGAGAGCCTTGAAATGAAATACAGCAGCACTGATTTACTCTGTGAAAAAGATTCCCAAATTTTTGCCTTGGCCACCTAGATCTGAAAGGAGATCTGGAGCGCACCACCTGCAGTGGGGTTTCCCTCTCCCCCAGCTCTCCCAAAGCCGCAGCTCCCTCCTGGGCTCCAGCACTTGGTTCTCCGGCAGGTATGGAAAAGCGCCGGCGCCTCGGTGGAGCGGCAGCCAGCTCTCCTCTGGTTACAGACCGAGCGCCGTTGTTCACATCGAAGCACCTGGCTCCTATTGTGCTGCCTTTCCGCAGTTTGTTAAATTTTATTTCGTGTTATTTCTCCTGTTTTGGCCTCCATCCAAAAAAAGTCCTTCTGTAAGTTCCCCAGCTGCCCTGCTCCTCGTAAATGTTCGTTTAAGTGTAATACCTTACGAGCGAACCCAGAGGTGCTCGCTCAGCGGGAGCCCTGCCTGAACAAAACCCCTTGGGCTAAGGTCGCCTGCTCGTGCATCTTGGGGTTCATCCACCAATTTTGGGGGAACAACATGGACCTGGCCGTGCCCTTGGGGGTTCCCAACCCCACGCTCAAGCTTGCCTTGGTTTTTCCCCAACCCATGCTACCAATTTTCCCAGTGGTTTTCCCACAAACATATATAACCTTCCCAAGGATCCAGGCTACCCTGGGCGGGGATGAGCCCTGGGAGGGTGGGTGTCCACCGGCATCTCTGAAGTCGCCAGCCAAAGGCAGCTCAGAAGAGCTCAGCAGCCGCACGGTTCAACTCGTGCCCCCACATTTCCCAAATGCCGGGCACACCAGATCTCGTTTTTCAGAGCTTATAGCCGTACAAACAATCAGTGTTGTCTTCTGCGCAAGCCAATGAGGTCTGCGGAAAGAAAATTGCAAAAGATTTGTTATTTCCCTAGTGTTCCCATTTTCCCATTCCTTTCCCACAGAAGCAAGGTTTTTGTTTTGTTTTGTTTTGTTTTTTTTCTTTCCCGACTTTCAGGGGAAAATCCTGACAAATGGAAGCCCTGATTCATAGCAGCAAAAATCTGGCCTTTTTTTAGTTTAAGGTGGAGCACTTCTTGTCTGAGGATGAAAACATTTCCCTAACTGCGCACAGAGGGCAAGGACTGAAGCAAAGGCTGAGTGGCGTTGGATGCTGATGGCCACCACCAGCGGAGAGCTGTCGTGCAGGCAGGAGAGCTGCTCATCTCCCCCGTGCTCAGGAAAGCACCGCCCGTGCTTGCTCACAGGGATGGAAGCAAGGGGACAGGCAAGCACCGGGTGGAGATGGTGGCTGTCACCAAAGAGACTTCCAAGGGTGGGAGAACATCTTCTGGGGGGATGCTGGGGAAGAGGCAGGGTGTGCGGCTCTGTGGCTGGAGGGATGCATTGGAACAAAGGGTCCCCATCCTCCTCCCGTGTTTTCTCAGGCGGCTGAAGGACGTGTGAGAAAGGCTCAGGAAGGGACGAAGGGAAGCGCTGCTCCTCTCCCATCACCACCACCCAAGCAGAGACGCCTGCTTCCCTCCTCTCTCTGTGTCCCACCTGGGAAGCTGGCTTGGGAAGAAAGGATTTATGGCCACAGCCTACCTGCTTCCACAGCCCAAGGGAAGAAAAGTGAAGGAGAAAGCAGAACAACAGAGCGGCATGTCCCTAAAACACTCCCTTGCAGCTTTTCTCCCCAGACGCTGCCATCCGTGCTGCACCGGTCCCACTCCGGTGGGCACTTCTGCCCATGCTGGGAGCCAGCAGCAAGCAATGAGCAATTTTGTTTGACACGGAGACAGAAACAGCTTAAAACAAAAAAAGGAAAAGCCATGACTTTTTTTTTCCCTTCCCCATCTCTGGCCAGAAAGCACATTTGGCAGAGCCCCGAGCGCTGGAAACCATCAGCGAGGCTGCCGGCACTTCAGAGGCTCCGAGGAGGAGGGTGGGTGTGTGCAAGCCACCGATGGCGCCCAGGACACTGTCCCCACTGCCCCGGGGGCCCCCGTCACTCAGGAGGGCCCCACTCTCCAT